GCTTATTTTGTGACAGCTTCAAAGCTTGGAAATTTGAAATGTCGTGGATCTGATGAATGGAGTGAAGGGAGGCGGTTGCTTTATGCCGCGGTCGTATGTCACTGTCCAAAATGATGAGGCCCAATGCTTTACCACGAAAAATCAAATGTCAGGCGGCAGGAAAACTGTCGGTGTGTACTGATGCTGTATTATGATTATAGGGATGTAAATATGTTCAAATCTGTCAGTACAATGTTATTTCATTATGTGATGTAATTGTCTTAGAAATAACTGACAGAAATAGGTTGCGTTCATGTTGTACAATTGGAGGTACAGGTGGAGTTCCAAATGTTCTCCCTGATCATTGATTATCTTCAGTCTTTTCTACTGGACAACATTATGCATATGTTTCTTTCAAAGATATAGACTTTTATGAGGCAATTAGATTTAGATTGCGATTCATAGCATTCGCCTTTTGTAGTGAACCGTGGAATACATACCCAAAGGTCCCCAGTGTGCCCCAGACAGTACTTATTAATATTATTGTTATCATTAAAACATAGATATATACTGACATAAAAGATTTGACAGTTTTTGTTTAAAGTGGATTAGCCCATGAATTATAGAGCAAGTAGCTCTAAACTAAAACAAGTCTGATTTTTTACAGTTACCAGAGTTACCAGGAAACATTATTCAGCTGCCCTCCACCAGAATGATAGACATAGTGTTGCAAACAATTGTTCTTGTGCTTTGGAAATGTAGATTACACAATACAGAAATAGCACTAAGGACCAGCTATTGTTCTTATCATTTTCTAACTGGAAATGCAAGAAGCCGCAAGGAAATCATGTAAAAACTCCATCAACCGCAATGATGAGTGACCAGTCCTTCCATGCGCAACAGCCTGGAAGGACTGGTCTCCTCAGGTCCGGAAGTGCATTTCTGGGACCATCAACAGGTTCTGATCCACAAACCTCAAAGCCCGAATGGGCATGAGGCTGGATCCGATCACTGATGTAAGGAGGAGCCTGACCTTGCAGAGCTCTGTACGTCAACATCATTATTTTAAAGCTCATCCTGTCGAACATGATAGAATATATATATATTTTTTTGTGTGGATGGATGTGTTTTTGCTGCTACTGTAAACCGGATTTTTTTTCCGACGGGGGATCAATAAAGTAAGTCTATCTATCTATCTATATCTATCTATGAGGACCAGGAAATATGCGAGTCCTCCTTTTTGTGCATGTGAGAACCCGAGTTGCAGTGTTTTGCACTAACGGCAGACGGGATAGCGACTTCTGTTTGAGAGTACTCTAAACGAGAAGACAAAATTGTATTTCATTCATAAACGTTGTTGATGTCTGTATATTATGTTGTCTACAGCTCTAACTTCTGCCATTTGAATGTGAGCTGTTACATTTAAGAATACATTTTCTCCAGTTACTTTGTCTCCCTCTTGTCGGTGCAATACTGCTTATTTCATCGCATTTGTCAACGTTGAAGTATTGTTACAGCTCAAGCGAACAAAAGTAAAACAATATGTCTATAGGGGGAATGTAGACCAGCTCCTATTGATCAGAAGAAAAAAAACCTCAAACAAACTAATAGAAAGCAAGTACATTTTTGACGGCAGCAGGGAAAGCCATTTGTATGATTCATAGAGTTAATTGCTTTGTAGCTGATGTAGAAACAATGACAGATTATGCTTGAGTCTCTTGTCTCTGCCTGTCATTTTCCAGCGCCCAATGAGACACGCAGTGATGAGGAAGTGATTGATGTATCGTAAGACAGACTTCAACACCCATGTGTGGAGTCTGAACTACTGCAGACTACAGATTTACACCTTAATGAACGGCCAACATCCATATTCTAGAGCACCTTGGAAAGATTAGATGAGATCTCATCAGTGACAATGATGATTCCTCTTACAGAGCAGAGATCGAACATGTTTTTCAGTGGAGTAAAGTAAACAATCTCCAGCTGAACACTGCAAAAACATGTGAACTTGTCTTTGACTTCAGTCGTAGCAGTTCTCACACTCCTGTAGTTATTGACAACTCCCAGGTGCAGATCGTAGAGGAGTGCAAGTTCCTGGGTTTAACTCTGTCTAACGACCTGAAATGGGACAAAAATACTAACCGGGTTGTTAAGAAAGTACGTCAGCGGCTCTTCTTTTTGCGGAAACTTAGAGAATTTACCACTAACTCTAAGATTCTGCTTAACTTTTATCGCTGCACCATTGAGAGTTTACTTGTTGGTTCTGTGTCTGTGTGGTTTGGAAACATCACAGATAAAGAAAAGAGAGCTTTAAACAAGGTGCGCCGCTCTGCAAAGAGGACCGTGGGCTGTGAGCTTCCTGTTCCGGAGGTTCTTTATAAATCCAGACTTTTAAACAAAGCTCTTAAAATCATCAGTGACTCTTCTGGCCACCCTGGGAAAGCCATGTTCCAGCTTCTTCCCTCTGGCAAAAGATATCGGTCGCTGAGATGCAAGACATCTCGCTATGCTAACAGCTTCTTTCCACAGGCTGTTAGGTGCCTAAACAGAGCACTTTAATTCCTGCTTTTACCCCTTGTATCGTTTTGTTGATCGGTGCCACAGTGTCAGCTGTTTTTTCTTATTTTATATTCCGTGTATGTGTATTTTATATTACATTGTATCGTGCTTTTTATTTTGTCGGTGCACACAGAGTACCTTTTTTTGCAAATGTATTCCAATGTAGTTTTTATACTGCACATGGCTAATAAAATGAATCTGAATGAATCTGAATCTGAATCTGAATATTACTTTATTAATCTCACAATATGTACATGTTATATTTGGCATCAATAGGATCGCTCAGGGTTGTTACTAATACTAGATAATTTGTTGTATTCTCGCAAGTTTTAGTTGACAATTGCTAATCACTTATTGTTTGAGTTCCTACATAATATTCAATGAAACGTCCTACAGAGTAATTTGTTTGTATCAAAAGAGGTCAATAGTTTTGCCAACCACTGGCTTTTTTTTGCCATCCATTAATTTTGAGAATGGAAAAAAGTAGGATGGCATGTGAATCAGGGTGGACCACAAAGAGCTCTGAAGCTAAGCAGGGCAGGGGCTGGTTAATACTGTGATGAGAGACCTCTGGGAACACACCTCACCCACATCATTTAGTATGATTTTCTTGTGTGTGTGTGTATATTTGTGTATGCGTGAATGATTGGTGGTGGGCCGATGGCATACACCGGTTGCCCTGATTCTGTCAGTCCACCCCTGGGCGTCTGTGGCTTCAGTAATAGCAATAGAGTGAATTAATTAATAATGCCTCATGGGCCATCTGTGAATGTCCCAAAAATCAGATGGCTTTTATAAAAGATGGCGCCCCTCACCTGCGCAACATTACGCATGTACAGTATCCTAACTCTTTTACATAAGTTGCAGTTTCTCTGTCTCTGAATATGTCTGTGGAACTCCCATAGCATCTCCAAACTTTGCAGAAGATTCTTTTTGTCACAGAGCAGAAAATTTGCTTACGGTTTCTTGCCCCAGTGTGTCGGATCGGCGATGATAAAAATACAGCAAATACGAACACTGGCCTCCAAATATTTCCATTCACGCTGCTCAAGATATAGGAGCTGTACGTGCCGCCTGCATCAATCAACACACTGCTCGCTAATGCACTAGGGCTATTAATTGTTCGCCCCGGCACCAGAAAAATGTAATTAGTACACAGGAATTGGGGCGCTGGCTGCATGTTGTACACCTCCATGTCAAAGAGGCTATACATCATTCCTGTCCTTGTTCTTCTTGTTCTATGGCCAGGATTTAGTGCCGTTAGCATCAATGGAATCTGTCTTTATGCCTCTTTAGGAGTCAAATATGGACTATGAAATAAGAAAGGCAGCATGATTTTACTGCTTTGTCCGTACAAAAAAACTGTTACTTTTATCTCTGTGCAGCACTTTGGTTTTGTAACATGTGCTATGCAAATAAAGTGGCTTGGATTGGAAGACCTGGTTGGGGGGCCAAAAGTATAAAAGTAGTTTTCTTTTCATTTTGATGCATTACTTGATTCACATTAGTTAGATTGGTTATTATTTTTCAGTAGATATTTTGTCAACAAAATTACATGTTGGCTAAACATTTTTTTAATAAATTAAATAATATGGTTGCATTCTTGAGAAAAAATAACTTAAAAAGAGGTATCACTTGCTATCGTTGCCAATTGCCATTAATAATGCATTCAAGGTCCACTGAAAATGGTCTTGGGGGCCGGATTTGGACAGCGGGCCTGAGTTTGACATGTCTGTTTTAGAATAAAGGTAATTTTAGAGTAGTACATAGAGTTGTAGATAGATGGATACTTTATTGATCCCCTGTAGGAGAAATACCGGTGTCGAAGCGTGATTCAGAGTGAAATTCTGAGTGCTTTATTAGCATTTTTAAGCAACAAAAATAGTATTCCTCCAGGTGAATACGCTTGGCTGGGATCATGCATCCTCTCTGCTCTAGTCTAGATCAGTGTAAAATCTGCACAGCTGTGTTGCTCCCAAGTGTCTTTAATACAGACCATGATAGTAACGTTTCCAGCCAACAAAACAATTTATCTTGGGACAAAACAAAATCTATTCATGAAACCAAAGCAATTTTAGGTCCTCTATGCTACTTATGGCTTGGAATAAATTTCATCCACAAAGCACAAAAATCAAGACGTACAAGACGCACAGTTATATCGTCTAATGAAGATGAGACCAGAGATGCCTATATCTGTGATCGACTAGCTCCAATGGTTCAGCCAGTAATGATGAGCGCTGTGAGGCTTTGTGTCGGCTCCGTCCGGTTATAATGGCTCTTGGCTGCGGACTAACCTCTGCGTGTGAATTTATTCAGCCATGTCTTACAATCGCCATCACCGCTCTTAAATCAGCTGCTCTAATTAGAAGCCGGAGCGCGCTGAAAAATACATTCGTCTCGCTAACAAGGCTTTTCCCCCCTTTCTCCTCTCTTTTTCTTCTTCTTCTTCTGTGATCTCACAGCTGTACAGTTCAGTGGACTTCGGGAGGAAATGGCAGCTCGTCCACGATCACGTCACGCCCAACCGGTTCTACTGGTGAGTCATTTTGCACCCACGCATCGCTCTTCTCTAAAGGAAGAACTGTTTTAACAAGGTGTGTGTGTTATATATGGAGCTAAACTTAACCGCAAAAAATGATACAATACCAGAAAAAAGTTACAAAACAAAGTCAAGTGTAAGACTACCTAGCCTGGACATGTTGGTTGCCATCTGTACAATTTTGAGAATGAAATAAAAAATAAGAATAATGGTGTGTGAAGCCGGGTGGCCCTCCATGGTTCAGTTAATGTTGGAAGTGAGATTGAGACTTGGGATTTAGCTAGAAACACAGATAGACACAATGCTATTATGTGATCAGGCAGTGGCACGTTATAACACAAATGTATTTATGTCATTCATTTATTTAGGCGCTTATTCATCTATATATTAGAGGATTTATTTTATGTATGCATGTATTTTTTCACATATGTTTTTCAGTAAGTATTAGTCAAGGCTATATCTGATCTGGTTAGTACAGTGATGAGAGATCTCTGGGAACACACTCCACCCATATTGCCTAGTATGAGTTTGTTACCGTCCACCGGCCTCTCCGACCAACACCAACCAACCATTCACGCCATCAGCCTACAAAGTCCGTCCGTCTGTTTTCTTCCGCTTCATCCAGTGCCGGGTTGCGGGGGTAGCAGTCTAAGCAGAGACGCCCAGATTTCCCTATCCACACACACTTCCTCCAGCTCGTCCGGGGGGACCCCAAGGCGTTTCCAGGCCAGCTGAGAGACATAGTGACTCCAGCGGGTCCTGGGTCTTCCCCGGGGCCTCCTCCTGGTGGGACGTGCCCGGAACACCTCCCGATGGAGGCGTCCAGGAGGCATCCGGAACAGATGCCCGAGCCACCTCAACTGGTTCCTCTCGACGTGGAGTAGCAGCGGCTCTACTCCGAGCTCCTCCCGTGTGGCTGAGCTCCTCACCCTATCTCTAAGGGAGCGCCCAGCCACTCTGTGGAGGAAGCTCATTTCAACCGCTTGTATCCGCGATCTCGTTCTTTTGGTCATTACCCAAAGCTCATGACCATAGGTGAGGGAGGGAACGAAGATTGACCGGTAAATCGAGAGCTTTGCCTTTCGGCTCAGCTCCCTCTTCACCACAACGGTCCGATACAGCGACCGCATCACTGCGCACGCTGCACCGATCCGCCTGTCAATCTCACGCTCCATCCTTCCCTCACTCGTGAACAAGACCCCGAGATACTTGAACTCCTCCACTTGAGGAAGGACCTCTCCACACACCCGGAGAGGGCAAGGCACCTTTTTCCTGTCGAGCACCATGGCCTCAGATTTGGAGGTGCTGATTCTCATTCCAGCCGCTTCACACTCGGCTGCAAACCGTCTCAGTGCATGTTGCAGGTCCTGGTTCGTAGGAGCCAACAGGACAACATCGTCCGCAAACAGCAGAGATGATATCCTGTGGTCCCCGAACCGGACCCCTCCGGCCCCTGGCTGCGCCTAGAAATTCTGTCCATGAATACAGTGAACAGAACCGGTGACAAAGCCCTGGCGGAGGCCAACATGCACCGGGAACAGGTCTGACTTAATGCCGGCAATGCGAACACAGCTCTAACTCCGGACCGCACGGCCCTCAGCAGAGGACCCCGGACCCCGTACTCCCGGAGAACCCCCCAAAGAACACCCCGGGGAACACGGTCAAACGCCTTCTCCAAATCCACAAAGCACATGTGGACAGGTTGGGCGAACTCCCATGAACCCTCGAGTATCCGATGGAGAGTATAGAGCTGGTCCAGTGTTCCGCGGCCGGGACGAAAACCACACTAATCCTCCTGAATCCGAGATTCGACCATCGTCCGTAGCCTCCTCTCCAGTACCTTGGAGTAAACCTTACCAGGGAGGCTGAGGAGTGTGATCCCATGATAATTGGAACACACCCTCCGGTCCCCCTTCTTATAGAGAGGGACCACCACCCCGGTCTGCCACTCCATTGGCACCGCCCCCGATCGCCACGCAATGTTGCAGAGACGTGTCAGCCAAGACAGTCCCACAACATCCAGAGACTTTAGATGGTCAGGACGTATCTCATCCACTCCCGGCGCCTTGCCACCAAGGAGGCTGCCAACCACCTTGGTGACCTCTGCCAGGGAGATGGAAGTATCCGCCCCAACATCCTCAGCCTCTGCATGACGTGACGGGGGGGTTGAGGAGAACCTCGAAGTATCCATTCCACCTCCCGACAATATCTCCAGTCAAGGTCAGCAGCTCTCCACCCGCACCATACACGGTGTTGGCAAAGCACTGCTTTCCCTTCCTGAGGCGTCGGACGGTTTGCCAGAATCTCTTCGAGGCCGACCGATAGTCATGCTCCATGGACTCTCCGAACTCCTCCCAGACCCGGGTTTTTGCCTCTGCAACAGCCCGGGCCGCGGCACGCTTGGCCAGCCGGTACCTCAGGAGTCCCCTGAACCATCCCCCGAGTCATGGAACCTTGAATACTTTTTATTCTATAATGAAAATGGAGTACACCACCTTTCCTTGAAACCACTACGCACAAAATTGATGTACTTGAAACATTCAAACCAAGTCTACATTCAATCCATGGATCAATATAAGATAAGATTGCTTTATTTATCTCACAGAGGAGAAATTTACATGTCACATTTGGCATGGATAGAGACACTCAGATTGTGCAAAGGGAGGAAATGTGCAAACATGTTACATGCAGGATATATATGTACAATAAAGTGACAATAATTATGTACAACAAAAGTGACAAGTGTCAATTGGAAACAGTGTCAATAGTAGTGCAGGTTTTCACACAGTGATCATTTAAAGTGACTTATTGTACAGTCTGACAGCGGTGGGGATAAAGGCCCTGCGGTAGCGCTCCTTCCTACACTGAGGGTGCCTCAGTCTTCCACTGAAGGAGCTCCTCAGCTCCTCTACAGTCCTGTGCAGTGGGTGGGAGGTATTGTTCATGATGGAGGTGGCTTTGGCTAGCACTCTCCTGTCCCTCACCTCCTCCACAGAGTCCAGGGAGCAGCCCAGAGTGGAGCTGGCCCTCCTGACCAGCTTGTTCAGTCTGTTTCTGTCCCGCTCTGTGCTTCCCGGGGCCCAGCACACGGCAGCGTAGTAAATGGCAGAAGCTACCACAGAGTCATAAAAAGTCCTGAGCAGAGGCCTGCTCACTCCGAAGGACCTCAGCCTCCTCAGAAGGAAGAGGCGACTTTGGCCCTTCTTGTGCAGGGCGTTTGTATTATGGGACCAGTCCAGTTTATTGTTAATGTGAACACCCAGGTACTTGAAGCTGTCCACCAGCTCAATGTCCTCCCCCTGGATGTTCAGCAGCGTGTGAGTAAGTGGTTTTCTCCTGAAGTCGATGACCATCTCCTTGGTCTTACTGGTGTTCAAGCACAAGTGGTTGCGCTCACACCAGTCGACAAAATCCTTGATAACCGACCGATATTCCAGTTCGTTCCCCTCAGACACACAGCCCACGATGGCGGAGTCGTCGGAGAACTTCTGCAGGTGACAGCTGTGTGTGTCGTGTGTGAAGTCTGAGGTGTAGATGGTGAAGAGAAACGGTGAGAGAACAGTGCCCTGAGGGGCCCCAGTGCTGCAGACTACCACCTCAAGTTGGTATTGTACATTCGCTACTTGCGCACTACCACAATGCTTGGGGGGTATATAGATTCATTTCCACAGATGTTTTGATTATAAGTATAGCTACTCTCAAAGTTCCCAAAGCTGCTCCAACAATTGAAAATGCAACCTAGAACTAACATTTTACAGAAAACCAAAATTCCAGGAAAGATTATCCACGGCAGTGATGAATCATGAATGATCATCAAGGTGCAACGTGTAATGTGAAATTTTTCAAATAGCAAATAGCAAATAAAATACAGTGGGGGCGGGTCCCGGCTCAAAAGTGGCCAAAAGGATGTGCGCTGACATACTTGCAATACCACCCCGGGCCGACGGGGGTGGACCCGGAATAAGAATTAGCCAATGCTAACATATAGCATTGGCAGACCTCTAGAAAACGTCTTTACAGGATAGTGTACTCTAGTTTACTAGTTCAATTTTTCAAGTCTCTCATTCAAAAGAATGGAGCTTGCGCCGGCTGACGCATGCACAGATGCGTTTTTTCACACTCACGGCTATTTTGGAAAGCTCCACTATTATTTGTTAAAACGGCGGACATAGGCGTGACTACGTCCATTATTTTTTACAGTCTGTGATAAAATAGCAACAAAGAATAACCAATGTTCACATGACATTTGCTAGTGTGTAACTGTCCCAATGCATCTTCTGTGATTCTACAACAAGAGAAACCTCTGGAAGAACCACACAAGACTCTAGATTTAGGACAAATACACCACTTTTTTTAGCCCCAATACTTCTTGCACAAAAAGTACAAAGGGTAAGGCTTTTTTTGTTTGTTTTCATGATCACATTCAACTTGGGAAAAAAGCCCAAACCAACACTTTTACTTTTGTTTACTCAGGGATGCAGAGAGTGCAGTGCTCTGTTCTGAACAACTGAGCAGTTGATATTAATGGCTGGAAACAGAGAGTGTGTGACTGACTGGTGATGCTGCAAAAAACCTATTTCATATCCCTTGTCTTTCTCGTCTCCCTCTAACCGGGCCTTGTTTTTTGGCCCACCCCAGTCTGTGTTGCTCCGTCACTCACTAGCACTTATTTTTTCTCCATCTTTTCCACTCCCTCTCTCTCTCCCCCCCTCGCCCTGTGATAAAATCAAGCATGAATCCGACGTCGCAGGATGCACTCTGCATTCAGCTGCTGAGATGCATATCCCTCCGCATCTTTTCGCCAGCCGCATCATGGCACATAAACTCAAAATGATTACTTTTATCTGTTGCAAAAGCTGGTCTTCTCCTGATGCCTCCTCTCTGATAAAAAAAAAGCACCGTATTCGAGGCAATGACTAATAATGGATTTGGGGCATTTCTGTCACTTCTCATACCCTTCTCTCTCCGCTCACTTCCCCTGCAGTGGAAGTCCAAAAGTGCGCACTCATCGCAAACGTAAGCACAGATCTTTTCCACTTAAATGCTCCCTTAGAGGTGACCAGGGTATGCCCACTGTAACTTGCATAAATCAGGATGTGAGCCACTTTGACATAAGTTTTAAGAGTACACAATTCATTCCAGGCGACACTTGAGATCCGACAAGGACATCTAAAAACAGTGTGTGGCCCCGGTGAGGTTCAGGCAGGCGTCCAGTTGGCGACTTTTAAAACAATGGCTTCATCATCTTCCAAGGGATTTACAATAGTTTCGCGGTGGAAGAGCAGCATCCTTAGAACTTCACCAATTTCAGTCTGAGATCTCTTCACAGACGGCAGGCAGCTGACCCCAACCTGCCCTGGCGTGAGAAGATTGGGTTTTTGTTGTGTGCCTTTGTTTTCTTTTTCATCAAACAAAATGCAAAAACGACAAATTGAATTGAACTGTTTTGGGATATGTTTGAATTGTAATGTGGTAAATAATCTATGGCTCTAACTGGGTTTCCCTCTCGCACAGACAGTGTATAGTGAATGGAAGCTAAACTCTGTTTACATATAAGAAGGAAGGTTTAATGTATATAAGCAGAATAAAGGCCAATTACAGACTAAGACTATAGCCTGGGTCCCTGACAAGATGGAACAGCAGAATGACCAAGAATGAAGCCAACGCTGCTTTCCTAAGTATCAGAGGAGCCTCATGGGTTGATCAAGTCACAAGACACACGACACACCATCACCGGACATTCAAATGCACCTCATGATATACGTATTTCAGTCTCATGATAAAGATGTTGTTCACACATTGTCTTACCAGACGTCCCCTCCGTCTCATGTCTAAGAGAAGTGATCAGCAGTTTTCTGTCATTGAGTGCTGACATGTCCCATCACATTCTATACGAAGACTATATGAATATAACAGAAGTTATAACAGAAGTTATAATAGCAGACACTACAGTAACTCGACATTCTAAGACAATGATGGGCATTGGACATCTTCCCCTTATGGACCAATGGCTCTATGTGTTTTTATCCCTGCATTTCTTGTGTTTGAACTGTTTGATTCTCTGATCTGTGTTGGCCAATCACTGGACTGGAAAATAACTGATCTTATTCCATTGAACGAATTTAAGTCCAAAGTGAGAGCACTTGAGTCAACCTCTTGTAAATGTTTTTTATAATGAGTATGTAATGTGTATGTAATTCTTAAACTGTATATTTTGCTGCCTCTTGGCCAGGACTCCCTTGAAAAAGAGGTTTTTAATCTCAATGGGACTTTCCTGGTTAAATAAAGGTTAATAAAAATAAAATAATAATCAAAGGTTTTGTAAAGTCCTCAGAGAAAACTACTGTTGTAATTTAGGGCTATACAAAAACACATTGAATTGGATTGAATAATATACATATAATATATGGCTCAGTTGGTAGAGCATTGGCCTTTCGGCCTGAAGGTTGTGGGTTCAAGCCCACCACGAGACCTACTTCATGACTCCCACTGATGACTGCTGTTGTTGAGTCCTTGGGCAAGACACTTAACCCCACTTTGCCTGAAGCCCCCGCTGAAAGATCAAGGCTCCTGTGGACTCACCACCTGCAGAAGGATCAGTGAGGGGCTGGTGCTATGTGTACTGGGTGCAGCTCTGACTGGCACCCCCCTGATCCAGAAATGGATAAAACGGAAGAAAATGGATGGATGGATGAATAATAACAAGCTGTCATTCATCAGGGTTTCATCAATTATTCTCATGAACTATCAAAATGTGATCTTTAAGATACTCAAAAAAAGCTCACAATTTTTTTTTTTATTTTTTTTTTATTTATTCATTCCGAGCAAGTAAGCGGGCATAGAAATAATTAGTTCAAGCAACTTAGGTACATGTACAAAATATAACAAAGGGGTAATAACGAAAAGAGTGAGTGATACTAACATAACACTTATGGATGCTCGAAAAGGAGTGGGAAGAAGTAATTACTGGTACATGCTTTGGTAATGTATGTATATTACCAAAAATGTATATTACCAAAAATGTTTTTGGTCATTTTAGATGTTATGAATCTTTTTTGAGACTTGTTATGCATTTATGTTCAAACTTGTCATTACAACAGTCAACAGAAGTCAGTAGTTTTTTACTTGATGTTTTGGTTATTCAATTCAATGTCCATTCAATGTATACTTGTATAGCCCTAAATCACAGCAATAGTTATCTTGGAGGACTTGGCCTACACAACACAGAATTAAACACAAGAAATAGAACAGAAAACCCATTGGTTATGGTCCATAAGGGGCAGATGACCAAACTCCATAAGTGTTGATAAATATCCATAAAAAGATATTCAATGATCTACAACTGAAGCAAACTTATATCTATAGGTGATGTGGGAGATGCTTAGGGGAACTTCCTGAGTACAAAACATGTGAATGCTGTAGAAAAAAAATTCTTCAGCTCAGACACAATCACATGACACAAACCTCTGTCATTTTTGTCATTTTCTTCATTTTGATTCTAAATACAGTAATGTTGCTCTTTTTAAAGGCCAACACTAAACTAAAAAAACACTAAACGTCCATACTCCCCCCCTCACTCCTGTCCTTTCTCACTCCACACCTGTCCCTCTGCTATCAGCAAGAATCAGCTCAGCTTGCTGCCAATCCATCTGTATACAAGCACCTTGCTGCATCAATCAACTGCGGCTCGAAGTGCAACCCCCCTCCTCCCCATCACCCGCTCGACAGTGGGACGTTTTTTCACCACATTATCAGAACAACACTATCTTCAATTGAATTCCCTCCTGCATATCTCAAGTGCTGTATCTGCCAGGATCTAAGTGCCAAACAGGATTCCCACATGCAACATATCAGCATTATTGATGTGTGTGTATGTTTGCTCGGCAGGGACAATGCAGTCATACATAGTTACATTAAAATATACAACTGACACAACACATGCACTGCAAAAAGTGATGGAAAAAAAGTCCAAAATTGCTCTAATTCTGCTAAATGTGTCTTAATTTGAGCACATTTTGACTCCCTTAAAACAAGATTTGCCAATGGGACACGCAAAATGATCTTGTTTTAAAAATATACAAGAAATGTCTCCCTTGGAATGAAAAATAAGCAACAGTTCTAGAAAGAAGATGAAATGGCTATGTTCTATAGGCAAATCTTATTTTAAGATTAAAAATACTCAATTCAAGCAATTATTACATTCTATTTTATAATGTTTTTGCAGTGTATAGAGTGTATAGCTGTAACTGTTTGATTCTCTCATCTGTTGTTGGGGAATCACTCCGTAAACTCCTCCGATGTGGCTGCTGCTGTGATTTAGGGCAAAAACACATTGAAGTAAATTCCATTAAATATAGCTAATTCTAATTCTTGACGCCTTGTACCTGTTTGAGCGTTTACCTACAAAATGTACATCCATAACGCAATCTTAAGCCTAGCGTACATCGACAGAGAAACTGGGGACAACTAGTTGCAAGGCGGCTTTTGGCAACTGAGAGGAGATGGTGGGAGATGATCAGTTGCCGAAATCGGTCGATGTGCGCGCTCTTACAACTGGAGATGATCAGTCGGTCTCTAGTTCCAGTCAGTTGCCCGTGTTCTACTTTTCGGCAACTAGTTGTCCTCAGTTGCCCCGATGTGCGCGCTCCATGCGCCGCTCCAACAACGTGTGTGTATTGCGTGTATTGCGAGCCCGCAACAGTTTGTTGTCAGAAAACACACTGTAGTTGAGGCCAGTTGCTGTCGATGTACGCGCTGTTATTCAAGAGACTGGCCTGCGACTCAGAGTTGCCCGTTTTCGCCAGATTGTCGATGTGTGCGGGGCAGCAACTCAGAGGCGACGGATATAATCAGTTGCCAGTCCGATGTACGCTAGGCTTTAGCCTTAGCATTACAACAGCTGTGTAACATTCAGACACCCCACATTCATAAACACATATGCAATCAAGCCCACGCACATAGTCCCACACCCACACCCATAATTTTGGTTAATACAATGTTTACAAATAAATATCATTTCAAGTGCCAATCAACCAGTAGCGACTATTTTTCTTCAGGCATATACAATTGAACAAACATCTTTCTTATACGTTAGTGGAGGCGGTGGGCCACAGTATGCCTGATCCATCTCAATCCATTACGTCCACTATATGTGAATTCTTTTAACAGTATATTTCCTTGTAGTCATACCAGAGGCATGTCGTCGCATGGATTTCTTCACATCGGTGCATGCGTCTCATTCTTCCCTTCTCTTTTGTTCCCTTCAGGTCCGTGTTGGGTCTCGACAAGGAATCCGACCTGGTTCACATGGAGGCCCACACTCCAGACGGCAGTGAGTCCTTCTTCAGTACCGACACACAAAAGACATCACTAATGAATAGGTTTTCTGAAGGCATGTGCTCTTGTAAGAAAATCACACACATACCGAAAGATTCTAATTAACAATGTGGTCTCGTCTCCCTTTGGCATCTTCTATGCAAAGTTTTTCTCAGGGACAAAGGTGAATTTCTTTATATGAACCAGTGCGACGCCCACAATATAGTTACACATATATAGTCTGTGGAGCCATGTGATTGACAGCCAGCATAATAAAGCCAACAGCATGTGCACTGAGCCAAACGAAGTAAAGAAAATGTCACGGAATAAAGGCAACGGTCCACCATTACGCTAATGACTGACGGAAACAGCATCACCACAAGAAATTTGGAGACGTGGCACACCTTTTTCACACACAAAAAAACCAGGCACAAAACCAGCTGAAACTGATCCAAAAATGAAGCTATATAGCCTTTGTTAACCCTTTAACATTCACTTATTTTCTAAGACGTAGGAGAACTAATAAATATTAGGTTTTTTGTTTTGTTTTTTTACAGCCCTCTACAAAATGGTGAGAGGTCTTTTGATGGTATAACGTGTCTAAAAGCAAGTGATAGAGATGCCCCAATTAGGAAGATTCCAGTTTGTATTAGATAGTGACTCAGAAAGATGTCCACCAAATGTTTGAGGAAACCATTAAAGGGTTAACTTACTTAAATGTAAAGCCCATTAATTACACATGGTAAATCTCTACAAAGTACTGTTATGACAATGTCCCCTTTGTCTGGCAATGGACAAATCTATCTGACAAATAAAAATGAATCAGAAGTGATCAAGACAGCTAATTCATAACATGGGTAATTTATTCATCTCAATGTATTGTTTGTTGGTTTCTGTTTTTCAGTGATTTCTCTGTGACATTTCCTTGCGTAGCGTGACGCCTGCAGCGGCGTGACTCATAAATCTTGTGTTGTTGTTCTGTGGCAGATGTTCAATACGTGACGTGCCGTGCGCTGGTCTGCTCCGAGGCTAACAGGGAGTTCCCCTTCCATGGCTTCGTCGACATCAACTCTCTGATCGTTCAGGACGACTACATTTTCATACAGGTACGACCACCTCTGCTTTACTGCATGGACCCCGGGAATAAAACAGCTGATATGTTGTCGTTAAAGGGGATCCAAATAGTTGAACAATTGAAAAGGAGTGGGGTTGACAAGTGTAGATTTCTTCCAATTATGCTTTGAGGTATTTTTGTGTGAAACTTGAATAATGTTGTTTTGAAATATGAGTTTGTTATTTATGCATTAGTATGTACTATAACATACTCAATAAATGTCACGGATAAACAAGGAAGGACCCTAAAGAACTGCAACATAATATAATTAATAAATGCCACAAAAAATAAATCCATAAATAAAAACTGAAAGCAACAAAGCATGAAGACAAAACAACGGTGGCAGGAGCACCGGGTCTAAATACACACAAGGAGGCGCAGGTGTAACACATCAGGGCGGGGCAAACATTTGGGAGAGACAGGAAGTAAAACTCACAAAAAGGGAAGAAATATATATCAAAATAAAACAAGATATTAAGAGAATATCCACGCCATGACAAAAAAGTGGGTTTCTAAAAGGATTTACACATAGACTGTATATAGATAGAGATTGCCAGAGAGTGCTCTGTCTCTCCTTCCAAGACCAGATGTGATTCAGTCAAGGCTGCAAACTCTTGATATTACAAGACACACCTTCATATGCAGACAAGACAGGAAGAAGCAACACAACAAAGAAAAATGACAAGACCTCCCTTATTAGCATGTTCAAAATCCTGCTTCTTCCTGGTGTTTAACATGGCTAATGTTCAAATCGGCTTGTTCTGCATTTGGCAAACATTATGAGTGACGTCAGCAATCGGTCGGTCCACCGAAGGTCTTCCTTCCATTCTCTCCTCTCCAAATTTGCAGTTCACGTATGCGTCACACAACAGCAGAGTTGGACGGGGATGGAGAGAAATAATAAATCAATTCATAGTCTATGGATTTATAACATATTCAAAACAGCTGCATTAGCCATTTTTCATGTACTGTATATTATTCTGGATAATGGACTGGATTTTACATGAATGAGCTGTCGTTAAAAGGTTGTGAGCCGTAGACGCCATTTAGATTTTAGTTTTGTGGTTGCATAATTAAGCTCTTGCAAACTTTGCTGATTTAAAGTCTGGATAATGAGGAGCTGATGGCAAATTTCTGATTCTGCAAAATGGTAATTATATAGGGGTAGATTTAGGTTTGGCTGGTTGTATACCATATTAGATACATGTTCCCTTGGTGTGATGATGGGACCACTAAACTTCTCCCTGCAAGGTAAATCCATATGCAGTTTGACTGACAATGTGTTTTTTTACATAAACTCGCCATATCCTGAAAAAGAGCCATTTATGTTGAAGTCCCTGTAAGGTTTGAAATATGTTTAACAAGTTACTAAATTAATTGACAGCTACTTCAATTGTTATTACTTTAAATTGTTATTAATTTAAATCTATTTCAATTGTTATTAACTATTTAACTTACAGCCATAGCATATTCTACCTATTTCTTTTTTTAATTTGAGTCTGAAATAAAGATTAATAATAATTCAAGAACATTTGGCAGTGTGTCTTATTTTATTATTCATCCATTATATTCATAACTAATCATTCTCCGACACCACTTGACCTGTTTAACTGTATAACGGTTTATCACGGCCTGCGAGTAAAGTATAAAACTCGCTGCCCATGCCACCGCAGAAACGGTGTTGTACTCCACAATAAAATAGAGTTGTTCGCCGAGGGCCGGAATGATTGCTGTAAACTCACTGGCTCTCAACGGCCTTCCTTCCATTCTCTCCTCTCCAAATTTGCAGTTCACGTATGCGTCACACAACAGCAGAGTCGGACGGGGATGGAGAGAAATAAAAAATCAATCATACCCATTCCTCTTAAAGTTCAAAGTGCCTGTGGTCCCAGCGCATCGATCGCCGCTCTATTGTGTGTGGGCCTGTTTTGACCGTTGATTTTTCTCTCTCCTTTTGAACGGGTGTTTATAAGATCGATCTGTTGCGTTGTCTTTGCACCAATCAGCAGGAAAAGGCATTATGACCAGACTTTTGTTACCAGGCTAATGTTGTTTGGCAACCTTGGTAGAACTAGGCCTCGCGGATAACATTTTCATGGAGATACTCTTGAGAAGTTTCAACGCCTTATTACGCGTTTGTATTTAACAGTTAGATCTTTACTATTACTGCCATTACTAAGATAAGATAAAACTTTATTAATAATAATAATAATAATACATTTTATTTATAATGCACTTTACATTTCAATGAAATGTCAGAGTGCTAGAGAACAGGGAACATCCCCAAGATACACAACATTAAATATTAAAACAAAATTAAAAATGTACAATACATCGAATAGACAAAATCATGAACACATTAAAAAAACATAACTACTGTACACTTCTAAAAGGCCTGTTTGAATACAAGTGTCTTTAGGCCTTTTTTGAAAGCATCCACACTTTGTGGGGCCCTGAGGGTCTCTGGGAGGGCATTCCAGAGCCGGGGAGCTACTGCCTGAAAGGCCCTGTCTCCCATGGTGGAGATTTTGGTCCTGGGTTGGTGCAGGCAGTGGGAGGAGGTGGTTGAACGGAGACTTCGAGATGCGGTGTGTTCTGTTAGGAGTTCGCTGAGGTAGGCAGGGGCAGTTCCGTGTATGCATTGATATGTGAGGAGGCAGAGTTTGTACTGTATTCTTTGTTTGATGGGCAGCCAGTGAAGTGATTGGAGGACGGGTGTGATATGGTCATATTTGCGCCTCCTCGTCAGGACCCAGGCAGCACAGTTCTGGATATACTGGAGTTTTTGCAAACTTTTTCCGGGGGTCCCGACAAGGAGGGCATTGCAGTAATCTAATCCAATTTCACAATGGAGTTCTACATACATGTTCTTACAAAGAATTGTTAGTTTAAAATTAGTTAGTGTAGGGTTGTCCATACTAAGGCTACGGGCCAAATGTGGCCCTTACATGGTATATCAGCCAACTTCAGCCAACCTAGACACCTCGTTGTAAAGCAGAGAATCTCTGAAATCCAGTTGACTTTGCTTGACTGCACTGGCATTCATTTTTTGATTGTATGGCACAAATAAAAAACGAGCCAACTTCAGCTTTCTCAAATATGAAGCAACACTGATATGTCAACCTGAATCCAATCAATCCCTGTGATTGGCCTCTCTACAATTTTGCTGAACTGAAATGGCCCTCTGACGAAAAAGTTTGGACCCCACCTGCCTTAGTGTTTTGTAAAATACAAATCAGTAGCTAAAGGTGAAGCTCAGGGGATTAGAATATAATTCAAAAGTCCATTTAATTCTGTTATTCAACTTACAATTTCAAACTAATATTTGAGAGACTAATCCAATGCCTTGAGAGATTTATCCAGTCTGTACTTGCTATAAGGTTGGCTCACAGCTTAAAAATCCCAAACAAAACATCTAACTCATCACTATTTTTACAAAGGCTCAACCAATGTGACTTTTTTGTGTGATGATTATTTACCATATATTAATAATAGCCATTTTAAGTTGTATTACAGAAATATATCAATGTTCGTATTGATAAATATTCAAATTTTCTGGGTTTCACATGTTTATGTATTTATAAATTCTATTCTCCCATTATAGCCATTCATCTGTTCACACATACCTGTTTCCTCAAAGGGTTTTCCAAATTCAACTCCATAGCTGAATGACTGAAAAAAAGAGAACGAAAACATCCTAAAATAAATTTTATTTTCTCAATATTATCAATATTATTTATTAGAGAATCATCCTTTGCACCAATTTTATGGACAGAAAAAAAGAACCAAAGTATGATATGAAAACAGAGAGTAAATAGCAATGAACAGGCTTGAGCTAAAGTCATAATGATGGCTGATGAAGTCGGAGAGAGAAGATGACGGTGCTCAAGCTACCAAGTTACTGTCCTCTTCTGTCCATTTCTTGCCGATGCAGAAGGATCTAGAGCACTGATGATCCAACCGAACAACATCGGTCCTCCCACTTCCTATGGACTAAAGACTCCAACATGTTTGTTATTAAGCCATTACTCATAAAAAGTTTGTCTCATTGTAGATTCCAGTGTTTGCAGATTATGAAACAACAGGGTAAAAAATAACTCTCCAGTAATAACGACTCATATCTGAGAAATAGCATACATTTGCACGCCGCTGGCCCGATTAATCATCATTTGAATGGCGGAAATAGTAATCTGGTGAATGCTGCTGAGTCACATTTCTTGGAATGCATTTAATTTCCTCATCACTTAAAATATTACACATTTAGCACTGTGTAAATGAGGCTTAACATCTGAATCTTGTTTTGCATTTGGTGGACATACAGTATTTAGGATTGAGTGCTGAAGAAATTAGTTTTTGTGTGCAAGATAGTAGACTGCATTTGGACTTGTTCTTCATTTGGGTTATAATGGAAGTTGGTAAAGGTCAGGCTCTAGTCCTTGTTAGTTTTATCCACAATTGTATTATAATCGATAGTCTATAACGTGTAGTGACAATTGTATATAATCAGCGAAATCTGCAAAGCAGCTGCTAAAACTCTCACCACAGACTTTTTACACTTCCAACCAAACTGTCCTGGACCATAACTTTTCTTAGAACCTTCTACATCAGCAAGGAATACCAGATGGCTGTAGATCTATGACCGAGTTTGTAGATCCAGGACTGAGGCTGAAGATCCAGACCTGAGGCTGTAGATCCAGGACTGAGGCTGTAGATCCAGGACTGAGGCTGAAGATACAGACCTGAGGCTGTAGATCCAGGACTGAGACTGTAGATCCAGGACTAAGGTTTTAGATTCAGGATTGAGGTTATAGATCCAGGTTTGAGGTTTTAAATCCAAGACCCAGTGTGTAAATTTAGGACTGAAGCTGTAGATCCAGGACTGAGGCTGTAGATCTAGGACTGAGGCTGTAGATCCAGGACTGAGGCTGTAGATCCAGGACTGAGGCTGTAGATCTAGGACCGAGGCAGTAGATCCAGGACCCAGGCTGTAGATCCAGGACAGAGTCTGTAGGATCCAGGACTATGTGTTTACTTTTTGATTCCAACCAACCAGTACAGAGAGGCCTCTGTAAAAACAAAAACAAAAAGCTCAGTGACATTGTTTGAAGTTCAGAAGTGACAGTCCACCTACAGCTCTGTGATGTTAGACTGTGGATAAATTTAAGGCATGGCCATTGGCTCTTCCAGATACATCTAGTCATAATGTTTTGCTACTTCCCTGATGCATATATACAGTATATATACAGTATATATCACTAGTTGGCTGTGTGAGCTTTAGTGGAATAAACTTTACTGAGCATTTGTGAAGTGTTATCTCCACCACACCTTCAGGCTGATGGTAATTCTGCACCGCACTCGTGTCGCATAAACTAACACCTAACCGCTTTCGAGTGTTTGCTAACGGCTCTGGACCAATAAAGGACCACTTCTCTTTTTTTTTTCCCTCACCGGGGGCGGCAGATGAGGCCCGGTTAGGCGACGTAAAGATTGCTCCTGACAAAGAATAATGAGACTATTGATTGTCCTACAAGATATTTACCAAAGTCTATTTTGAAACCGCCAAGTGCATTGACACCTGAGAGAGGGCAGCACCGTCTGAATACAAGAGAGAGACCTCAATTCACGGGGTCTGCGCAGAAGGGAAATGTTACTCTGTGGATATAGCCGAATGAGTGACCGGAGAGGTCTTTCATATTTTCTGCACATGTTTCTCCTTAAAGCTGGGGTACCTAACATTGAAACTAAAATATAATACAATCCATCTAACAACTATCTCCCTTCCACAAAAGTTTGATTCTGTCACCAGTTTTCACAAATATGAATTAAATGGGCTTTATCACAGCTTTAGATCCGATTTTTGGAGAGTAAAGTGTGTTTGTTTGATTGTGTGTGTGTTTTTTTTTTTTCTTTATAACATGCTGTGATCCAAATCTTTTACAAGTTTTGCAAAACAGACATACAACATATATGAATTATGAAATAAAAAAGTTTGCAACCCCCGATTTAAAAAAATAAAAATGACAATGTATTTTACTGGTGATTAATATGCAATGATTAGCATGAATATGTTTTACTCTTTTTAATGTAACGTGATTATTTATGATTTTAATGCCTTGTGTGACTGTCTAACTTATTTTGTTCAGAACTTACAGTTGCCTTGGGCATGAACTGTAGTATACAAATAAACTTTCCTTGCCTTGCCATTGGGCCTTAAAAACAAATATATTGTTTTGCTCTGCTCATCTTTTCAATGTGGATCAACATTTGAAAAAAACTCAATGAAGAAAAAATGTAGTCAATTTAACCTGGTTTTTGGTGTTGAGAATTGCTGATTTTGGGACCCATTTTCTGATATTTCATGATGTTTAATATTACATTCATTCCATCCTTGCAGGTGTAGTGTCCTAGTGGCAGTGAAAATAGGGGTTATTGAAAAAGATCCCTGACAAAAAAATGACGTATGTTTTTGGTCGTTTTGCAGGTTCCTACTTCTGGACGTGCAACGTATTATGTGTCGTACAAAAGAGAACAGTTCATACAAATCAAACTTCCTAAATACTCCCTTCCAAAGGTAAGTTCACATCACACAATATACAATAACATGATGCGATTAATACATTGTGTTTCATATGTCACTAACATGTCACAGATGGACTTTGGTGCGAGACCATGGAGAGACTTACACACAGGCAGAGCTGCTTTTATTACCTTTTAGCTAAATCAATACATTAAATTATGAGATGTGTCAATCTAATACAGTTAGCTAAGTTTATAAATGGTACAATCTACTCTAGCCGTAATGGAGCTGACCATGGTGCTGAATTATTTATTTTGAATAACTTGGAAAGCCCACAGGGTATTTCTTTTTGACATACTCTCAGACTCTGATATTTAGGCTTTTCTCAGTCTGTGTATGTTCCAAGTGAAGCCCAAGGCTGCACACTTTTTGTCTAAGTCAAACATGCAAATATTATGCTCTTTTGGAAAAGAGTAACTTATGGTGAAACAGTATTATTTCCATTTACAACAAAATATTAAATAACGGCAGATGTGTAACAGTTGTCTGGTTACCTCCTGAAATACTAGGACATGACCAAGACAGCATTTGAGAGCGTTTAAGAAAAGTAAGAAAAGTCCACACTCTCTCTGCCAATCATGTGCAAGTTCCCCATTGAGCACTGGATGGCATAAACACACACACACACACACACACATTCAAGTTAATATATGTAGTGTGTACGAATCACATAGACATATTAGTAGCACCTTTTTTTAATGACACATGACCAGCCATGAATTACATTACACACTCCCACACTCTCTGCCACCTCTGCTCTCGTTCACTGTCCGAGAATTGGTCTCCTACAACCACTTTTTTCACTCCAACGTTCAACTTTTACACAAGACGGACTTCTCAGATTTTTTGTCTCCAATAATACAGAACTAATTATCAGCCACACTGACATGCACAGACCCTCTTCTCTCTTACATTTAATAACATGTTTAAGTACCCGGCATAGTAATGGTTTAAGTGTTTTGGTTTTCAGGGTGACTTGGTGCTATCGCAGTGGAATAATTTATGCACATTCATTTAAAAAAGTCCATTAGGTCTCACACATTATATTAGCATTTTTATATTTCATTACTTGATAATTGCTTCCCATACGCGTAGTGTTAAAGCCGGATGCTCGATTTACTTTGTGTGACCCGTCTCATAGCACCACTACATTGTTATCTGTCATCTTTATACCGATAGCGATTACTTAAACCCAAAATAATGTATCATTCTCTGGATCTTGTGCAGGATTTACACATCGTGAGTACAGATGAGAAGCAGGTTTTTGCCGCGGTGCAAGAGTGGAACCAGAACGACACGTACAACCTCTACCTGTCCGACACGAGAGGAATCTACTTCACTTTGGCCATGGAGAACGTCAAGACCACCAGAGGGCTGGGCGGGAACCAGAACCTCGATCTCTATGAGGTAATGTATTCACTGCTAACTATTTAAAGCTGGGGTACCTCACTTTAGTACAGATCATTATTCTTACACACGGTCTTATAATAAAAATGTATTACTATTTTTGTTTTACAAGTAAGACGGGAATAATTCTCCTGTCATGAGGAAAAATTAAGGAAGGACCCAAAAACAGGGGCGACCGCTCAGTTGGTAGAGCATTGGCCTTTGAGCCAGAAGGTCGTGGGTTCGAGCCCACCTCAAGACTTTCAACTCCCACTGTCTGCTGTTGTTGTGTCCTTGGCAAGACACTTAACCTCTGGGAACACCAACCACAGTGGGGCGGCTGCGACTGTAAAGTGCCAAACTGCCGTTCTGTCCTTAGGCAAGACACTTCCTCCTCATTGCCTAGAATGAGTCTGGTGTGTGTGTGAATGGTTGATGGTGGTCGGAGGGATGATGGCACATACTGGTTGCCTCGCTTCTGTCAGTGTGCCCCAGGACAGCTGTGGCTACAGTAGTAGTTCATCACCTCCGTGCATGAAGTGAATGAATAATGACATGTAAAGCGTCTTTGAGTGTCCAAAAAAGCGCAATTTAGAACCGATGCATTATTATTATTATTAAAAAGCAAGAATGCAGAAATACTGATTTAATAATGACAATTAAATTAAAGTCCAAGTTAAAGACAAACTAAAAAATCTTAAATCCTAAAAATTAAACATGGGAACCAGGCACAGGACAGATGAGGACAAACAAAGACAATGGACCAGCAACAAGAGGAAAGGAGCACAGGTACATATAGACACAGAGAGACACAGGTGAAACACATGAGGCAGACAATCCACAAGGGAACAGGACAGGATGTAAAACTAAAACAAAACCATAGACAACTGAAGTCAAAATAAAACCAAGTACAAAAAAAAAATCCACACTTTTACATCTTATTAAACTGTAAGCTGTACAGACCTTTCCGGATATGAATGTGTGAATCTTCATCCCGTACCTAACTTTAGTCCTAACAAAAATGTTGAACTGTTTACAGTGGTCCCTTGTTTATCGTTCTTTTCAAATCAGAACAACACACTCAGTTGATAAAAAGAAAAAATACATTGTTTAAGTGCTAAATCGAGTTCAAAGGAAGTAGGCAGAGGTAAAAAAAAAAAACTTGTAAATGCTTATCCTTTCATTGCATAATTAAATTAAATGAGTCAGAAAATGCATAAATACATTTAAATCGTGGGGGATGTGTAACTTTGTGATTGTTTTTGATTCTTATGGTTTAGCCCAAGAACCAGGGCCATAGACAATCATTTCACCTTGGAGAGACCCATGAGGAAAACGCATTAGACTTATTAGATTTAAGCATGTTTATTGATTGAGCATGTTTGGCGCCCTAGGCCCGGGCGGGATACTGTTGAGCACGGCGCTTGCTCGCGTGCATGATCCCCCCGGGGCCTAGGCACTGGTGACGGCAGAGGCAGTAGGCAACACGCTTCATGCGAGAAGGAGGAGGTGGGGCGGCGGCGGCTTGCAGACTTCAGAAGATCGGGAAGTGGGCGTCTCCGGCTTTTAACTTGCTGTCCTGGTGGTTATTGGTTGACTGGGTGTGGGCGTTGCTGGTATTGATGAGTCGAGGAAGAGCAGCCTGTGGCCTGGCAGCAACAGCCGGGTCTACCACGGTGAACTTTCGCGAAAGCTCCATTTCACCTTGGAGAGACCCATGAGGAAAACGCATTAGACTTATTAGATTTAAGCATGTTTATTGATTGAGCATGTTTGGCGCCCTAGGCCCGGGCGGGATGCTGTTGAGCACGGCGCTTGCTCGCGTGCATGATCCCCAAAAAGCGGGCCTGCGATTGGGATAGCAGGACGTACTGCGCGGGCCTGAGAGCATGAGCGAGCTGAGAACATGCGCACGCGCGCATGTTCAGCCAGCCGCTGTAGCAGAGGAATCTTTGAGCGAACTGAGAACATGCGCGCACGCGCATGTTCAGCCAGCCGCAGCAGAGGAATCTTTGAGCGAACTGAGAGCATGCGCGCACGCGCATGCTCAGCCAGCCGCAGCAGAGGAATCTTTGAGCGAACTGAGAACATGCGCGCACGCGCATGTTCAGCCAGCCGCAGCAGAGGAATCTTTGAGCGAGCTGAGAATATGAGCGCACGCTCATATTCAGCCAGACGCTGAAGCAAGGAATCTTTGAGCGTTTGAGGAAAGTGCGTGCCGCCACCAGAATCTTATTGCTTACTTGCTTTGCTGGGAGCTTACGAGGAAGCCGGTAGACGTTGTGCAGCCAGGATAGCGGTCGCATCTGGCCTGATGTAGGTGGAGAAGCCGAAGAGGACCAGCGCCCCAGCCGTTGCAGAGGAAGAGTGGGGGAGCCCCAGCGAGGTCGCGCGCGTGGCAGCGCCTATCCTGAAGGAGTGGGCTGTATAGAGCTGGGGAGACAAATTGCAGAGGAGCAGTAGGGATCTTAGCTGAGCTCTGAACCAGGTTGCTGTTATGGGAAGGTTGACTGGAGTGAGAATTAGAGGTCCGTTAAAATCTCCTTTTTGCCGCGGAGGCGAGTGTAACGCATCATGGACCTGTAGGGGCAGAGAGATGTGTCGAAGCGAGCTATTATTGTGTTGCAGGCGCCTCTGATCTTTGAATGTTTGAGATGAAGGTTGAATGGTCAGGGGACATTATGTTGGGTGAGAAGAGCGACCTTTGTTTAATGCTTCCACTACGTCGAGATGATCACGCATGACAGAGATCCTCTTTCTCTGCCACGTGTGATTCCGCAGCGCGCAGGCCACGACCACTGGGAATGTCTTGTGTAGGGCAGAGGAAATGCTCCGGGGAAAGTAGCGGGCCACGGCCGGCGAACCACTGGTCCTGGAAGAATCCCCCAAAAACCCACGGAAGGGGCAGCGTCCGTGTAGAAGCGGAGACCTGTAGGGGCAGAGAGACACACCGGAGAGGGCCATTGATGTTGCAGGCGCCTTTACGCTTAGAATCTTGGGTTGGAGAGTAGATAATTAGGCCAGTAGGATAGGACGGGAAAAGCCGTGTCCTGGACCGCATTGAAGGTTGAGTGAGCAGTGGTGAAACGCTTATGCAGAGAAGCCACAGAAGGCGAGCAGAAGATGCTGCGAGGAGGGCAGACATGTACTTGGAAGATGAGCCGGAGTTCAGCGCCGCTGCAGGATGGGCAGCATGATGGGGAGCCTGTGATCAGAAGAGTGAAGAACCAGGTATGGATGCCTTTGATTAGGAGTCCGATTGACGGCTCAGCGCAGCTACTTGGCCAGCTGCATCTGATAGAATCAGAAGATTCAGTAGAGAGATGAAGCACGACCGCCGAAGCGACCCTGGGAGCATAGGTGCGAGTCCGGCGCAGCGCGGCATACTCAGCCGGGCTGCATCCATTAGAAGCAGGATAAGCTTCTGAGAGAATGGGTTGCAGTAGCAGTAGCAGCAGCGGCAGCAGCAGTAGCCTCAGATAATAACAGCAAAAGTCCTGTATCAAGCCGCGGCAGCAGCAGTAGCAGCAGCAGCGTCCTTAGAAAATAACAGTAATAATTCTGTATCAAAGCCACAGCAGTAGAATGTTGTTGTAGCTGTTCAGGGTTTCAGTAAAAGAGATGCGAAGTGAAGAGAGATGGCAAAGTAAATGAAGCAGCAGCAGTAGCAGCAGTAGCCGTATGAAGCAGCAGCAGTAGCAGTATGAAGCAGCAGCAGCAGTAGCAGTATGAAGCAGCAGCAGCTACAGCATCCGTCGATAATAGCAGCAATAATCCTGTATCAAAGCCAGAGCAGTAGAATATTGTTGTAGCCGTTTAGTGTTTCAGTAAAAGAGATGCGAAGTGAAGAGGGATGTCAAAGTACATGAAGCAGCAGCAGCAGCGCAGCAGTAGCAGCAGCAGTAACGGTAGCAGTATGAAGCAGCAGAAGCAGCATTAGCAGTAGCAGCAGTAGCAGTATGAAGCAGCAGCGGTTGCAGCATCCGTAGATAATAACAGCCATAATCCTGTATCAAAGCCAGAGCAGTAGAATATTGTTGTAGCTGTTTCGTGTTTCAGTAAAAGAGATGCGAAGTGAAGAGAGATGTCAAGTACATGAAGCAGCAGCAGCACGGCAGCAGATGCAGTATGAAGCAGCAGCGGCAGCAGTAGCAGCAGTAACGGTAGCAGCATGAAGCAGCAGCAGCAGCAGCGGTTGCAGCATCCGTAGATAATAACAGCAATAATCCTGTATCAAGCCACCGCAGTAGAATATAGTTGAAGCTGTTTAGTGTTTCAGTAAAAGAGATGCGCAGTGAAGAGAGGTGTCAAAGTAAAGAAGCAGCAGCAGCACGGCAGCAGATGCAGTATGAAGCAGCAGCGGCAGCAATAGCAGCAGTAGCGGCAGCAGAAGCAGCAAGCAGCAGCAGCACAATGCAATTCATACGAACAACAGACGTGTCACGCCAGCGTGCGCCGCTTGTCTCCGTGAGCCAAGTTACGTACGTGTCTGAAGAGCCGAGCCGTAGAGACAGGTGCAGCCTGGGAGCCTGCGGAGCGGCAGCGGCAGGAACAGCAGCAGCGGCACATGTAGTAGTAGGAGCAGCAGGAGCAGGCAGCAGGGACAGGCAGCAGCAGGAATAGGCAGCAGCGGGATCAGGCATCAGTAGGAACGGCAGCAGGGACCGCAGCAGCGGCGGTCAGAGAACCATGCCCACGGTTGTTTAAGAGCCTGAGGAAATAAATCAACCCGAATCCGAAACATTCCCATGCGAGAACCAGATGTCCCCTGGAGCCATCTTGCTGCTTTGGTTATGGCAGATACGCATGAACGATCACTGATCCATGCGTTCATTAGCTCCAGCTCCACTTCAAACCCATTGCATATTCACATTGGGCCCCTTTTCTTTCTGCTGCACTTTCGAAATGCAACAACTGCAGTTTAGTTACCCAGTTTAATACTAGTGACCTAGCTATTTAAATGCATGGCCCCTCCTTCCTCCTGCAGATAGACGAATTTAAATACATCATTTAACAATAGT